AAACAGTGTAGAATCTGCTCAGTAAATTGGCTTTGGCATTGACTGCTCTCTGGACTGAGCTCTGGCCATGTCAGTGATGTCTCTCCGGGACGCCTTCTTTCCTTTTGGACCTTACCATCACTCTCTTGCTGCTTTTGGCTAGCAAGATTTTTTTTTTCTTTTTCCTCCTCCTTCACATTTTAACCTAGGAAACTAGTCATTTATTTTGTTTTTTCTTGTTTCAGAGATGTTAAGTTTTCCTTAACTTGGCTTTACTGTTGCAAATTATGGTTCATTTGTAAAGCGTGGAGGCTGGAAAAAGCTTCCAAGAAGCCCTAGTGTTGCATTATGGAACCAGGCCTTTCATTTCGCATTGCCTTTCTAGACATGCGTGTAGATTTCAAATCTGTCTTACTGCACCACAAAAAAAGATTTATGAATAACTCATGATCACAGTATGTTTACCAAAAATTTCTGCTCCTATGGCAGATACGGAAAGCTGAAAAGTTTTATGAAACTTTCTAAGTAGTTAAGACCTTTCCAAAATGAAAAGTAAGTTCTGTCACACCTAATTAGTTTAACATACTTCAACTGTGCTGTTTATGTAAAATATAGGAAAAGAGAATAAAGAAAACGTATGTTGAGCAACTACTACATATCAGGAACTGTGCCAAGTGCTCATATAGTTTTTCATAAAATCTCCCTGACAACTTGCAAGTTAGCTTAAAAACTGCTGCTCAGTGTTTTGGTAATTTGTCCATGGTCACATGTCTAGTAAGTGGTGGTCAGGCTGTTCTCAGAGGATGCTTAGCATGATTTAATGTCCCATTTTCTCTATCTACATTACACACTGCAACAGCAGACACTCAAATGACTAAATAAAGAGAAGAATGAATTTACTTACATTGTTGTTGGTCACAGCAAAGTACTGCAAATTACTCAAATATTGGATTTCTTCTGGAATGAAGGTCAGGTGGTTATAGCTTAGATCCAGATAATGTAGTTTAGTGCATAGAAAAAGCTGCAGGGGTAGATTCTCAATATTATTATGGTCCAAAGACAGCTGCTCTAGATTAGATAATGCCCCAATTTGGGCAGGAATATAAGCAATGTTATTGTGCCACAATTTTAAGCAAGAAAGATTCTGGAGATGCTGAAAGCTGATGATCTCCTCCACAGTTTTAAGGTTGTTTTCTTTTAGGTCTAACTCATGCAGATTGTTCAGGCTGAAGATGGAGTGTGGAATGCGTTCAAGGTCACAGCTGAGCAGCTCTAGGCTTTTCAGATTGACCATTTTTTTCAGGTTGTTCAACACAACCAGTTTGCTTCCCTCATTATTGAGGGACAGTTTCTGCAGGAAAGGCAGGAGGTCTGTAATGACTTGTGGGATCCGGGGCAGGCTGCTCTTCAGGTAGAGGGTCCGCAGGTTTTTTAAGTCCTGAAAGCCCTCCAACTGCATGGTACTCAGCTGCTCAGGGAGAACACAACCCGACAGATAAAGTTCCTTGAGATTCTTCAGGTGAAATACCCAGCGTGGAATTTTCCCCATTTCAGTAAATTTCAGGCGGAGAACTTTTAAATTCTCCTCTAGAAAGGCCAGGGCAGGATGGTCTACCACCAGAGACGAATGGTACACATGAAGCTCCTTGAGGTTGACCAGCTGGGAGACGGCGGAGGGCAGCTTGACCTCAGGAATCAGCTCTAGGCTGAGCACTTCGATTTCAGTCAGCTCAAAAACATTGTCTGGAAGACCGTTTAGCATAAAGAGATGCAGTTCCACCTTGTCCTGGGCATTTTTCACCAGCTTGCTTTTCAGTTTCTCCACCGTCCATTCGTTATTGAGGTTGATCTGCTTCAGTTTGTTCTCACTGACCTCCGACAGGAATATGGAGAAGCGTTTGGAATACAGAGGATCGTACTGGTCAGCCAGATGGAGGATGAAGGCAAAGTCATTCTTGACGTCCGGGATGTCGCTGTAGTTGCTTTTTTCTCTCAACGCCTCAAAGGAATATTGCTTGAGGGAGCTCCTCAGCATCCACCACAAGCTGTAGGAGGAGGTGAAGCCATAGAGTATAACCAGGATGACATAGAATGAAGCCAGGACCTTAAATATTTCTGCCAAGGAGTAGACGCACTGGTAACGCTTATATCCCGTGAAAGCCTGCACGTCAACGGAGCAGTCAATCTCAAGAGTGATGTAGGTTAAGAAATACGGAACGTAACTAATGATGAAGACAAACAAAATGACTTTGACTATTATCTGCTTCAGATACACTCTGTAAATGATATCCTTCTGCTCCACGTGCATGCGGAACCTTTTCACTTTTTCGAAGATGGCTTTGGCCTGCTCGCCCTCCTTCTTGTCCAGGACACTGGAAGTCGGGCTTTCTATGCCAGCCGACTCCATGCTGGGCTGCGGGTAGGGCAGGGACTGCTTATTGGCATCCACATCAGCCGAACACCCTGAGGATGAAAGCAGAACCTTGGACTTGGAGAGTGTCAGGGGCCTCACGGACTGCTCGGCCACCGTTTCCGACAGGGCGCGGGTGGTCCACGGAGAATCGAAGCACTTGTGCAGGATGGCCACAAAGTGCTCGAGCCGGGAACTCGTGCTGGGGTAGTGAAGCCAAAAGTTGCTGCAGGCTGCGAAGATGAGCGTGTGCAAGAGCACCAGGTAGGGGAAGAACTTTGCGAACCAGTGGAGCTGCTTCTCGTAGCAGACGGCGTCAATGTAGGAGTACTGCTGGCGGTGGAGGTCATTCTGGATTCGGAGGGGGAGCGGGAGTGGCGGCCCCAGGTCGGAGGATGCATTCACGCTGGCTCTCAGGAGGTGCCAAGGCACAGAGCAGTGATTGTCGAATTCCACCTTACAGGGAAGACAGCACAGAACCCGGCTCTGCGTCAGCTGCAGCGCGCCCGCCAGCACGGCCACCAGCAGCATGACCAGGGTGATGTAATACCAGAAGACGTCCCACCACGGTTTTAGGATGTGATAAGATGATTGGGCGTCTGCTAAACATTTTAGCTCCGTTAGTGTGATCATGACTTTCCCTTGGAGGAGGAGTACAGATACTGGAAGAGAAAAATAAAAGAAAAGGGGCTGAGGTAAAAGTATCCAAAACAGGCATTTAACTCTAACGCTCATATACACATATTCTAAGTAGGATTTAGCTCAGGGGCAAACCCTTGAAGGCAGGACTGATCAGGGAATATAGAAGGCACCTGGTTTCATTAGAGAACGTGCACTTTAAAGTGCCTTTGGTGAGACACCGTTTGGTGATAAAGGACTGGGGCAGGATGTGAAGCAACAATTTCATTTCCTCCTGCATTTTGACTTCATGCTGAGCTATTAAAAACCGGATTTTCTTCAATCAACACTGGGACAACTTGTTCTTATGCTACTTGTTCCTAGCTACACTTTACACCCTCCCGAAAACGGTTTGAGTAAGCTCTGTTCCACATCCTACCCCCCATGCCTGGAGCATTCACTTCAGCCTAAGAGTTGTGTTTCAGTCACTAGGAAGAACCTCTTTTGAGCAAGCACTGCCTTATAAAATTACTCCTTCCGAAAATTCTAGAGGAATCTGCCAATTCTATGTTCAAAACAAAATGTAATTTAATGCATTTGCTCCCCTAAACCCCCAGCTCTTGAGATGTAACTAAAATTCATGTCCAACTTAGAGGACTTAAAAACTGACAAACAATAGTAATGGCTTAAAAAAGAATTGGGAATAAAAATCCAGTTAGAGCAATATTCTATTATAGAGACTCTCATGTTTAACGTTTCCATGGCAAAATACTAATAGAATAAATGACTAAGGGCATAATCTATTCTTAAATTATTTTTGCTATCAGAAAAGCAAGGTGGATTTTTCAGGTTCTTTAAAAGTACTCAATGTTCCTTATATAAATGGTTTATGCAAAGTTCAGAAAGAGACATTACATAAAACATTAAGTCATTTAAAAATATTTTTAAATCACTTATTTTAAAAATTGTTAATTAGTAAAATCCAGACCTCCTATAAGAGGGCACAGAGCAAGATAGATAAAAGGACATTTTGAACCTAATAATGTATTTGGCAAGAAAAAAGAAGGAAAAACCCCCACAGCGGCATGGTTATCTTTTGCTGGGGGTCCAGTTCTAACCTATGTCCATGGTCTTCTCTTGTACTTTCTTGAATCTGAAGTCTTAGCCTCTTTCCTAGGTCTGAGTTTCTCTTTCTAGATATCCTAGTACTGGTAGCACCCCCAAGGAAGCCTTTTTTTGGCTCATTAATCCCCCTTCTAGAGACCGACATCCTGCCTCGAACCCCAGAATTCCATTACAGATGCTCTGCTACCTGTTAATCAGTGTGTTCTCTTTTGCCGGTCAGCTCCAACATATTCCTTATCATCTGATCTGAGCCCTATACCTTCTTGCTTTCCCACTTGTTAGGGCACCCATGACACCTGATTTTAATTGCTGGACTGGAGCACCACTTTCTCCCTGCATCCTCTCTGAACATCATATTATATGGTTTCGACTTCCTCTTAGGACTTGGATCTTGATTATACAACTTGTCACCCTTCCCTCCTTTAGTTTAGTGGGTCTAATTCTAACTCTCAGCTCCTCTCATTCTGCCTCATCCAACTTCAGTTAACCACAACTGTTTATCAATATAAGACAAAAACCAAAACCAAGAGGAGTATATGAGACACACGGAAAGTCCTGCACGTAGACCCCCAAATGCCATAAACATGGTAGCAGGCAGGATGGTAGAACATACTGATGGATGATCATGTGAAAAATACCTAGGGTTTTTGGTTGGCATGAATATATGCTTTTAGCTAATAGTGTGATAGCTATCACGATAAATATAGCTATGTGCTATATTAATGCTAACTACAGTTACAATATTATTATAATCTGGCGCCACATTGATAGATGAACCCAGATAAAGGGGCAACAGTCATTCTGTACCTGCCTGGTGAGATCACATCTAGAATTCAATACTGAGTCACAGGTTAAAAATTAATTGGGCAACAGAAAAGTCAGGAGCTACTTGTCTGCAAACCATGATCTACAGAGAAACACAGGTAACTGATGATATTCAGCTGAGATGATGGTAGTGAAGTAGATGGAAACTACACTCACCTCCTCCCAGGACTGAACCGGAATCACAATAAATCACAGAACAATCATCCTGAAAAACCAACTGAAGACTAGTGGAAGAGAAGTCTTATAACCAAGGATTAACAGAAGAAGCCAGGATTTGCAGTAGAGACTGGTAGGAAGGGCGGAGATGTGAAAAGGGCTGTCCCCACACCCACATGTGGCAGATAACAGTCTGGAGGGATCTCTTAGTTGCAAAGGTCCCTCTGTAGGAGCAAGGGTTCTCAACCCCATATTGGGATCCCCAGCCCAGAGCACCAGAGCCAGGAAGAGGAGCCCAAATAACATTTGGCTGTGAAAACCAGTGGAGATTCCGACCACCAGGGAGAGACAGGAGTCTGCTAGAAATCCAGGCACCTTCTTAAAGAGCCAGAGAAAAAAAATCTCATTCATGGCCACTCACTGCGGGTTCCAATGGAAGGAAGGTGGATTGGAGAGAACTGGAGTCATTCAAGGGGAAACTGGGTTGTGTGCCTTAGGGAAGAGAGTTGAAGAGGCAGCTGTACTAAATCCCTCCTGACACCACCCACCGACACCATCTTTCCTGGGTCCACTGTTCTCCATGCTGTGTCAGACTGGGGAGTGCACTAGCCTCACCCACCTGACTTCCTGTGGCTCTACACTGCTGAGCTCATGCCCTGCATAGGAGCTGGCTGGCTATGGCCAGCCTGGCAGCAGTGCAGACTTCTTTGGGGAGCTCTCAAGAAGATCTGAGCACATTTGAGGGGTGGAAAAGACAACAGGGAAGGATGGAGTTGTGTGACTCCTGGGCAAGGGCCATGTTTCTCTCACATGCTGACCAGAGCCACCACTGTCCCTGTGTAGAGCCCTCCCTCCACACACCTGCACCTTGGTCTGTGTTCATCTAATGAATTCTGCTGCCTCACCCTGATGAGTCCCTGAGACCCTGCCCCACCACACAGATCTGCTGCTCCCAGGCAGGTGGTGGTTGGCCTGGGTGTACACTGAGGCTTTTGTTGAATGGCCTCAGACCTAGAAACCAGATGAATCCTACTTGTCCCTACCTGGTGATTCACTAAGAACCTACCTGGCACAGCTCGCGTACCACCAGAGGCACTTTCAGTGACTGAGCCTGGTAGGCAACCAGGAGACAGAGGTGTGTGTTGGGTGCTTTGGGTCTTTTGCTCACCTGCCCCCAGGCTTGGTGTTGGTAGAAGCCAGGCTGAAAACACAGCTTGGCCCCTACCACATACCCAGGCCCTGCAGAGGCAGCCACAAACTGGATTGCTTTGGAGCTCCAAACTGGGGGCTGGTCACAGGCAGCGCCTGACATTGATCTACACTAGAGTCCCTCACAAGAGGCCCCAGAACCAACAAACCAGGTGACAGGCTTCAGGCCACATCAGAGCATGACCAAATTAGTCCATAAGTGGCACAACCAAAGGGAGAAGGTCAGCAGGCACCAGATTGGGCTGGTGTGAATTCTGCTTTGTGGCATTAGCCTCCAGACAAGTTGTACAATATGGTCAAGATTGATCTTCATAGTCAGCTAGACTCAGAATCAACACCATCAAGACAGGCCAATAGCACTCAAGACTCAACTACAACAGGAAGGCTCACATAAGCCAAACAAGAGACATTCCTGAAGCACCAAGCTCAGGTGACAAGGGAGATTGTGTCACCAAGCCCCAGAGAATACCTATTAAATAAGGCCATCATACCAAGACTGGGAGGCATAGCAGATCTACGTAGTACATAGAAACAAATACAGAGAGACAGCCAAAATGGGGAGGCAAAGAAACATGCCCCAAATGAAAGAACATGAGAAAGCTCCAGAAAAAGAACTAAATGAAATGGAGGCAAGCAATCTACCACATATAGAATTCAAAACAATGGCTGTAAGGATGCTCAAGAAACTTAGGGGAAAATGAATGAACTCAGTGAGAACCATAATAAAGTGATAGAAAACACATAAAAGGACCTAGAAAACATAAAAAAGAACCAGTCAGAGAAAGAGATACCATATGCTTTCACTCATATGTGGAATCTAATGAACAAAATGAACTAACAAGCAAAACAGAGATAGATTCATAGACAGCAGGGGAGTGGGTGGCTTGAAGGGCTAGGTGGGGTAGGGGGCGAGGGTGGAGAGATTGAGGGAAAAAACAAAAAGAGAAAAAACTCATGGATAGGGACAAGAGTGTGGTGATGCCAGGGGGATAAACGGTGTTGGAAGGAGACTTGACTTGGGGTGGTGAACACACGATACAATGTACAGATAATGTGTTGTGGAATTGTGCAATGGAAGCCTGTATAATTTTGTTAACCAATAAATTCAATAAAAAGGAAAAACAAACAGGAAGCTGATTCTATCCATATATTCTATCCATATATATAAAAGCCTAATATGCTAAGTGTCCAACCATTTGACTGGTACTATGATGCACACTGACCACCAGGGGGCAGACGCTCTGACTGGTAGGTTAGCCTGCTGCTGGGATCCGGCCGATCAGGACTGGGCGAGACAGGCGGGACATGCCCTGGAGCCAACCTCTCATGATCCCTCCCTGGTCTCTACAATATTTCTTCTAATTAGTCTCCTTTCAATGTGCATGAATCTGTGCACCAGGCCTCCAGTAATAAATAAAACAAAAAAACTAGGACCTAAAATTTCCACACATTTCTCCAAAACATTTCAAATCCACAAAGCTTTTTTTTTTCTTTCAAACCAATCCTAACAGCAATGCTTTTTGTTGTTGTTAATTCTCACCCAAGGATAGTCTTCCATTGATATTTAGAGAGTGGAAGGGAGGGGGAGAGATAGACACATTGGTTGTCTCCTGCACACGCCCCAACCAGGGCCAAGGATCAAGCCTGCAACCAAGGTACATACCCTTCAGCCTGCAGGGACCCTTCAGTCTGCAGGCTGACACTCTATCCACTGAGCCAAACCAACTAG